GCTTCAACTCTGCCAATTTTTGTATTTGAAATTACACATTTTGAGTATTCAGCATAGATCCCCACTTGCTTTCCATTGCATACAGTACAATCTCCCTATACATAGGGGATATGTGAACCTGCAGGTAATAGTGAACGCTCTATTTGCACGCTGCTCTGCTGCCCTGTGAAGAGGAGTAACTTAAGTTCTACTTTGTTATTCTGGCGAAGGAAAAACGTTTCCCATCCTCTCCAGAGACAAAGCATTGGGGCGGCAATTCTTCCTGCTTCCCCTTTGCAAGCCTGAAGTTGTAGGAATGTGTACACAACGGGAAGTGGCAGTGGTTCTTCCTTCTTCCTTCACTCCACCCAAGCCTGAGGCTTCTTCCTTCTCGCCCTAGAAGCCCAAGACTGTTGCATGAATAGTGAATAAGTGAAAGCACTGATATGTGGATTTTACAGTGCTTCAAGGAGAAAAATTCATTTGGGTTGTATTTCCACCTGCATGGCATTGCCAAGCTCTCATGGTTGTCTGGTAGCGGGTCTCCTACCCAGGCTTCCCCTACTCACCTGAACATGCACCCACTTCCTTGTGTAGTGTAGCTGTCATCTATATAAATAAAATGTAAATATCCGTTTGTGAATGACCTCAAATCTCCCAAAACACTTCACCAATTGCTTCGAAATTTGGACACAACGTAGCATTCGAACAGGCAAATGTTTTTATGTATTCATATACCTACTATTATATAGACATCACACCTGTGACAGGTAAAAACATGCATGGCATCAAAAACAGCGCAATCTGCTGGATGTCCAAGTAACACATGGCAAAGTGACTCCAGAGCAGAACTGGGAGAAGAAGAGCAGGAAAAGGGCAGTAGGGCAGGAAGGGAAATCCAGTCTAGAGAGAGGAGTGGGGCACAGGCCCAGGGGAGGGAGGGAGGAAAGGAGGAAGGCTCGGGCTCCTGTAGCCTCATACCCTGCCCGGCCTTTCCCAGCACCGTCTCACACCTGCGCCTCCAAGAAGACTGGAGTCTCGGAAGGAAGGATTGATTGTTAGGAAGGGAGAGATAGATAGGAGGGAAGGAAAGGGTTTCCCCCAAACTCACTGATCATTATTAGATAGGAGGGAAGGAAAGGGTTTCCCCAAAACTCACTGATCATTATTATATAGACCAGTATCATTGTTATTGTCATTATTATATACACCAGTATTATTATATAGAGTACATAGGGCAGTATTATTATTTACATCATTATTAGTTCACAGATAACGGAACAACAAAAAAATATTGTATACCCACAAACATTACAAAGTTACATATATTAAAAACCAGCTCGTTTTCTTTTCTTTCTTTTCCATTTAACTAGATTGGACCACAGCAACAAGTGGCCAAGTACAGCTAGTTGTGTAATAAAAATGTACCAAAATACTGTTGACCACCTCTTTGTGAAAAAGCACAGCTACAGTAGTTGGTTGAGAAGTTGGCAATTTACTTTACAAGCCGTAGGTAGGTAGGAAGGTAAAGGTTTTCCCCTGCCATTAAGTCCATTCGTGTCCAACTCTGGGGGTTGGTGCTCATCTCCATTTCTGACCTGAAGAGCTGGTGTTGTCCGGCATGACTGTATGGAGCGCTGTTGCTTTGTTAGATCCTTCCTTTTTTCATGGAATGAAGAAAGCAAAAACAAATTTTCAGTTACATATTTAAACTCAAGACCCATAGAGGGGCTCATCTTCATTTCTTATTGTGTCACCAAGTGACCTCTGCAATGAGAGAACAATTTTAAATGTATGTTCTCTCCTGCGATGTCCTTATTGACATGTTGGCTGGGTGCTCTCCAAACCTGCATAAGCTCATCAGTCAGGAATCCCTGGCACGACTGGCTTCTCCTCTTGCAGAAAGTACCTTCTTGATTAGTTCTTGGGAAGCAGATCTGTGGCAAGAGAAACTGGGGCAGGAGGTGGGAAGAGACTCATGTCGCCTCTCACCCCAAAAGTTGCCAAACTGAAGAGGAAATCTTGGAACGGCCCAGGAGAAATCACCTTTCTCTCTATCTCACCATCATGACGCCACCCCAAATGGAGAAGGCACGAGGACAGATGTGGTTGGATGTTATAGCTTTGGGTGTGGATTAGGCTGTTGATCCTTTTCGTCATCCTGGAAAGATTTATCAGCTTTTCACAATATGAGTCTCACTTATCCAACCTTTGCTCATCCAAAGCAGTCTGCCTCCTGCCCGGATCCACAGCTGTTTCAAAACATTGCAATGGTTTGGTGCTAAATTCGTAAATACAGTAATTACTACATAATGTTACTGTGTATTGAACTGCTTTTTCTGTCAATTTGTTGTAAAACATGATGTTTTGGTGCTTCATTTGTAAAATCATAATGTAATTTAATGTTTAATGGACTTTTCCTTAATTCCTCCTTATTATCCAACATTTTTGCTTATCCAGTGTTCTGCCGGCCTGTTTATGTTGAATAAGTGAAACTCTACTGTATTTAGAATGCAGTCCTTAGTTTGACACCAATGTCAGGATCTCCTCCTGTCCCACCTCTATGGCTTTACATGTAGGGACCTTCTCAATGCCCTTGTGGTTGCAGTTCAGGGCTTTGCGTGCATCTACACCTGGCATGGGCAAACTTTGGCCGTCCAGGTGTTTTGGACTTCAACTCCCACAATTCCTAACATTAAGATATTAAACAGAAGGTGAACATGAGCTCAAAGATTATTATTTAATACATCTAGATCCTGATTGACTCAAACTCCAGCTCACCTCTCTCACATATATTCCTATTGCAGACACTCATCTGTCACTCGTAATCCTCCCTAATTGACCTGGGTAATTAACTCATTTCTGTCTCTGACCAACTCTCCTCACGTCTCTAACTCATATCAGTGACTCTGACATTCTTCTTTCACAGCCTGTCTCTACTCATATCCTAATTAGGCTCAGCATGTTTAAAAATAATAATATACTTTATTTATATTCCTCTCTATCTCCCTGAGGGGACTCAGAGTGGATTACAGAACACATATACGGCAGAAATTCAATGATGATGTACTGTACAATTAACAATGTCAGACAGTACATAAGCAGAGGTAAAGGCTTCCCATCTTTTTCCATGTCCGGCATCTGGAGGTTGTGCTCGATTCTGGTCATGGGGAGGTGCTGTTGTTCCATTTTCCATGCCGAGGAGCTTGTTGTCAGTGGGTGTGTTCCTGACTGAATTGCTGGCATGTCTCTATAGGAGCCTTTTTACTTCCCCACCAAAGTGGTACCTATTGATCTACTCACATTACTGTTTTCGAACTGCTAGGTAATCGGGAGCTAGGCTGACAGTGGGAGCTCACCCCAACCTGTGACTTGAACTACCAACCTTCCGGAGGTTAGCTGGCGGTTTAACCCGCTGTGCTAACCACGGCCCTTCTCTATCAAAGAGTGTTGCTGCCTCTCCAAACTTACAAACCCCAGGATTCCATAGCATTGAGCCATGGCAGTTAAAGTAGTGACAAACTGCATTATTTTTACAGTATAGATGCATCCTAGGTGATCTTGGGGGAAGCCCCCCACTCTCTTGGCCTCAAAGTAAGGCAATGGCAACTTTCCTTTGAACTAATTGTGCCAAGAAAACTTTATAATAAGAGTAGTTAGTCCTAGCAGAAGTCATCTAACAAAGGAAACGTGACTTGGATTGTGTCCAAAGTAGAACCAGTTGGATTCTGGTGGGGAGCTTTCTTTTTCAATCAATTTTTTTGACGAATGACAATGAGACACATACCAAATGAAAGCCTGCTTGCAATCCGAGGATCAGTTTAAGCAATCTGCAGAATCAAGTCTCATTCCCCCAACATTCCATGGATGGAAACTGGAATGTTTATACCCAAGGTATACCTGAATAAAATAGCAAAATAGAAGAATGGAGAGAAACAGACAAGCTAGGAGAGGCTACAGCAGTTTGGTTATGCCTGACTGTACTGGGAAGGGCATGATTGCACCCAATCCACCACTGAGTTAAAGCAATTGTAGAAATAGGATAATAAAGCATTAATAGGGCCTGTTTTCTGCCAAACCAAAAACATTGGGAGGTTATGAAGTCCTCTTCTGGTAGAGCTTTTCTGGGACCAGACATCCCATTTATGGCCCTATGGTTTCAAGACAATGTGGTGTTCTTCATCTAATATTTTCATTAACGTTCAATTTTCCTACATATATGGATAAGAGTTTTGAAAAATCAGCAGTAGTCTTGGCTGTCGTAATTTTGGAGCTATAACCCAAAATGTTCCTTTTCTAAGCTCTGACAAGGATTTACATTCCTAATAAAGGTAAAGCTTCCCCCTTGACATTAGGTCTAGTCGTGTTCTACTTGGGGGTGGTGCTCATCTCCATTTCTAAGAGAAGGCGTTGTCCATAGACACCTCTAAAGTCATGTGGCCAGCATGACTGCAAGGTGTGCCATTACTTTCCCACCAAAGCAGTACCTTATTGATCTACTCACTCTTGCATGTTTTAAACTGCTAGGTTGGCAGAAGCTGGGCCTAACAGCTGGAGCTCCCCCCGCTCCCCAGATTCGAACCAACAACCTTTCGGTCAGCAAGTTCAGCATGACTGCATGGAGTGCCGTTACATTCCTAGTAGGAACATTTAAATGTCTAATTGGCTGCACCTGCCAGTTGAAGTGATTCAGTCAAATAAAACTGCTATCATATGATGATGTGGAATATCGGAACTCTTACCTATGCATCCAGTTCAGAAATGGCAGAGAATCTTAGAAGAACAGAGACAGCAAAGTAGAGGATGTCATCAGTAGTATATATTCTGCAGCAGGATTCCTATGTTTTATCCCTAGGGCTATATAATCTTTAGCATCACAATTAGAAAATATTTTGACCTCCCTTTTTACACATTTAAGATGGATTTTTCATCCCGTTTTCTGGTTTTGGTGTAATTGGAATATTGCTAAGAGTCCTTTATGTCTTACTGACAGCTTGTCTGTCTTGTTCTCTTTTATACAGCATTTCTCTCCAGCTCCCACTCTGCAGCCGTGGAAGATGTAAGCACAGGAGGAAGTAAGAGCTTTATTAATGTTGCACTTGTTTTTGAAATAACAATCATAGCGAACTAGATCTAACAGAATCTTACTGTTTAGCCTTCCTATTGGCTCTCAAAATAATCTCCTTCCTTGGGATTATTTCTGTTACAAATCAGTTCGCTGCTATCATGGTTTAGCTATCATGAGCATTAGTGATTTCAACTTTTCCAGATTTGATTATTTATGGCTTTGATTAATGTGTTAGATGTAGAACTCTTTAGGTCCTCCAAGATGACTCTGTGATTAACTTCTGCTGGAAGTTGACCATAAATTTGCCCTGAAGGAGCTATACATTCCTAGACAGGTATTCTCTGAATTTAAAAAGTTGTTTTTATATCCATTTATTTATTTATTTATTTATTTCACATATTTGTATCTTGCCCTTCTCACACTAAAAGGCGACTCAGGATGGCCTTACAGCAGGCAGCGATTTGATGCCAATGCATATAAAAATAAACGGCTTGGCCTCACAGTGGTATATATTCTGCAGCAGGATTCGTAGATTTTATCCCTTAAGCTTCTTCCTGAAAGACAGGAGGGAGGGAGCTGACCTGATTTCATTGGGGAGGGAGTTCCACAGACGAGGGGCCACCACTGAGAAGGTCCTGTCTCTCTTACCCACTAAACGCGCTTGTGAAGGTGGTGGGATCAAGAGCAGGGCTGCCCCAGATGATCTTAACTTCCCAGGTGGGTCATAGAGGGAGATATGTTTGGACAGGTAAGCTGGGCCAGAACTGTTTAGGGCTTTATAGGCTAAAGCCAGCACACTGAATTGTGCTTGGTAGCAGACTGGCAGCCAGTGGAGCTGACGTAATGGAGTTGTATGCTCCCTGTACACTGCTCTAGTGAGCAATCTGGCTGCCACCTGTTGGGCCATTTTAAGCTTCAGAATAGTCTTCAAGGGCAACCCCATGTAGAGCACGTTGCAGTAGTCTATTTGGGATGTAACAGGAGTGTGCACCACCGTAGCCAAGTCTGGCTTCCCAAGGTACGGGCACAATTGACGCACAAGTTTTAATTGTGTGAAAAGTCCCCTGGTCACCCCCAAAACTTGGGGTTCCAAGCTCAGCGATGAATCTAGGATCACTCCTAAGCTGCAAATTTGTGTCTTCAGGGGGAATGTAACCCCATCCAGCACAGGCTGTAACCCAATACTCTGTTCAGCCTTATGACTGACTAGGAGGGCCTCTGTCTTGTCTGGATTCAATTTCAATTTCCCTCCTTTCATTGGGGTCCTGCAACCCTAACTCTCACGAATGCAGACAGCCTACTGTCGACTCATTTTCAGTGGAAACTCTGTAAAGAGCTTCTTCTATGAGTCTCCAGTTCCTTCCCATTATTCAGAAACACATGTCTTGCCCTTCATTTGTGACTGCTTTATTTGGTTAACTTTTTTTGCCTCTTCAGTTTTTACATCCATTGTACGTACAGATTCATTCATATTCCCAGCCATCAGCATTCCAGATATGTTAAGCTAAAAAGGGAAAGTTCAGGGATTGCTGGGATGTCTTCTTCTATCTCAGTAGCAAGTGAGAAAGTCCAGAGACTATCAAGACATCTTCTTCTGTATCAATAGCAAGACTTGATGTTACCAATCCAAAGTATTGTTTGATCATCTTGTTCAAAAAGTGATGGGATTTTGGAAATGCCTTGTTTTTTCACGCTCCAAAATATCTTCTTTCAGCAACACTGTGCGGCGTGCCCTCCATGGGTCGAATCATCGGTGGCATGAATGCCCAGAGGGGACAGTGGCCCTGGCAGGTCAACCTTAACTTTGACGGTCATCACGTCTGCGGAGCCACCCTCATTGCCCCACAGTGGCTGGTCACAGCCGCGCATTGTTTTCCTCCGTAAGTGTGAGACATCTACAGAATGTGATATTGATGTGAGCATTGGGAAGCGGAAATGGGAAAATGTGGTGCCTTTTGGAGGTGAGGATTTAAATAGTGGTGGGTTCAAGATCCAGAGCTAGATTGGAAGCCAGTAAGATGTAGGGTCTTCACAGAACCTAGAGCAAAAATTGGGGTAATAATTCCCAGAATCCACTAATAGTTATGCTAGTTGGAGGTTGCGGTCTGAAACCTAACTTTCTCAAGATCTAGTTTTTTATTCATTTAGTTGCTTTATGAGGAAATCTCATTATCTTGTGACATCAAGCAGTTTATTAGCCTTGGCCAATGGCTAAATGTTGTGGCATAGTGTAAAATAAACCATGTGTAGTTCACGTTGGATCAGCCTACACACTGTCTTGCCAGGAAAAGAAAATATGCCATGCAAGTGAACAATAAATAAAGAACAAGTAAAATTCAGAACAACATATGTACAATATAATCAGTTGCATCAACTCACTAAACGTCCTTTCAGAGAGGATTAAAATGGCATTTCTTTGTCCATATGAGAGACCTCCTTTTCAGCAGCCAAGAAGCAAAGCAGTCTGTTTCTCTCTGCTTCTCTCTGTACCTGCATAGCTTGAGCCTGAACAAAAATGCAACAGTATCCAAAAGTTCAAAGCTCAGCCATCACCCCATGTATTGCCTAACCCAGGGGTCCTCAAACTTTTTAAACAGAGGGCCAGGTCACAGTCCCTCAAACTGCTGCAGGGCCGATTATAATTTGAAAAATATATATTTTGAATTCCTATGCACACTGCACATATCATATTTGTAGTACAAAAAAACCCCTTTAAAACAATACAACAATTAAAAGGAAGAACAATTTTAACAAATATAAACTTAAAAGTATTTCATTGGAAAGTGTGGGCCTGCTTTTGGCTGATGAGATAGGATTGTTGTTGTTGTGTGCTTTCAAGTCATTTCAGACTGAGGTTGACCCTGAGTGAGGGCTGGGTAAATGACCTTGGAGGGGCGTATCCGACCCCCGGGCCTTAGTTTGAGGGCCCCTGGCCTAACCAGTTAGCTTCATGCATCTCATTTTGCAGTTGACACACACACCCTCACTGCTTCCTTGCATGCTCTAACAAATGTAACCTCCACATTGAGAAGTAAGTCTAAACATCAGTTGGCCTGGATAATGAAGTGGCAAACATTGCCTTCTCTTCCTTTTTTCTGTACTTCTTAGTTGTCTGGCCAATGTTGGACATTAGGAATTTGGACTAGGTGAGTTCTTAGACTAATCCAGCAGAGATGTTCTTATCAACCTATATCTTGCCTTCCTTTTGTATCTTAAGAATGTGTTTTGATTTTCTGTTGCTTTCTTTTCTCTCTCTTTAGAGTGAATCCCATAGATAGATATGAGGTGACCTTGGGGGCCTTCCAGCTTAAAAACCCCTCGGATGATCTTGTGGTGAAACTGGTCCAGGAAGTGCTGAAACACCCCGAATACACCGACGACGAGGGGTCGAAAGGCGACATTGCCCTCGTAAAACTTAAGGAACCGGTCTCCTACTCTCGGACTATCCGGCCCATCTGCCTGCCCGCCTCTACTGTCAATTTCCCCAGTGGAATGAAATGCACCGTCACCGGCTGGGGAAACATCCTCACATCCAGTAAGGAAGGAATTTTAATCTGGGAAACATAGTCCTTCTTGTCTGCTTAGCATGAAAGGTGTCTTGATGCTGTGAATCTGGTGCTTTAAAAAGATCTCTTTTGTTGCTATGTCAGGCTACTTCAAATCCTATCTGTAATTGGATTGTTAAAAAATGTACTTGTATGCTAAATACATGAAGTTTGTGACTATGCTACTTTTAAAGAAGACTGCTTATTTTTGTCTCTTGAGAGTATGATTTAAACCAAGATGTTTTAAGGGGGAGTCGATGTTTTTTCGGCAACTGAAGAGAACACTTCTGAAACTCTGCGCACGCTCTCTCTCTCTCTCTATATATATATATCTATATCTATATAAATAAAAATGTAATGTTTGTTTGTGGGATTAACATAACTCAAAAACCATGGGGGGAATTGACACCAAATTTGGACACAATACACCTAACAACCCAATGTATGTCCTTCACTCATAAAAACACTGAAAAACACAGCAGAAGGGACTTTAAAAGCCCCCCAAAGCRAAATGACGAAAAGCTAAATGACAATACAGAAAAAGGGGAAGAAAGAGGGAGGAAAGGGGAAAAAAGAAAGAAAGAAGGAGGGAGGGAGGGACAGAAAGAAGGAAAGGGAGAAGGAAGGAATGAAARAGGTAGAAAAGGAAGGAAGAAAGAGGGAGGGAAAAAAAGGGGGAAGGAAGGAAAGTTAGAGAAGGAAGGAGAGAAGGAAAGAAAAAAGGGAAAGAGGGAGCAAAGGAAGGGGGAAGATGTAGAGAAAGAGGGAGGGAAGGAAAGAAGGAAAGAGAAAAGGAAGAAAAGAGACAGCAGAAGAGAAAGAGAAAGGGGGAGCAAAGGAAGGAAAGAGATAGAGAAGGAAGRAAGAAGAGAAGGAAAGACGGAAGGAAGGAAGAAAARGGAGTGAAGGAAGGAGGGAAAGAAGGGGAGAAAGAGGGAAGGTTGGCCACAGCAACGCGTGGCGGGTACAGCTAGTGTATATATATGGGTGTATGTGTATGTTTGTACATTGGCATATCTTTGTCCCTAAGAGTTCAAAGAGATATCTAGGTATATCAGTTTAACAGCTGAGAAACCTGGGTTGTCTTGGATGAATGCTGTTGGGTATTTACCAATAAGATGAAGGTTGTGGCAGAATGAAAATCATGCATAGATCATGTCTTTACCAATCCACACACTGTCTTGCTAGAGAAAAGATATGCCACGCAGCTCATCAGTAAATAATAAGGCGTTTACTCTTTTTTATGCAGAGCAACATATATACAGTCATGTGAACAGTTGCATTGACTCACAAAATGTCCTTTGAGAGAGATTCAAATGGTCCTTAGGGTGTTCATAGGAAAAATCTTCTTCCAGCAGCCAAGAAGCAAAAATATAAACTGTCTTGATATGCTCTTGCACAGGAAAACCTAAAAATGTAACTGTTGCCAAAACTCCCAGGCTCAGCTAGCTTCTTGGGTGTAGCCCAACCAATCAGCTTTGTGCTTTGCGTTTTTTAGTTAACATACTCACCAACTGATTTTTACATGATCCAACAAAGATTGTCTCAAGTGAGTTTTTGACTCTTCTCAGGACGATTCCTGTTTTGTCCAAAATGTTACGATCTCTAACAAGGTCATGCCTTTCCTGTGACCAGCGGTTTTCCAAAAGGTTATGAATCCCATTTTCTATATGATATGGAGATTCACATTTTCCAAAGTAGGTATAACTGGCATACACATTTCTTCTCCACTTCTGGGCACTGACTGAATTTTTTCCTTCCGTTTAGCGAGCCTTCCTTCACCTATGACGCTTCAGCAGCTTGAAGTGCCTATCATCGGGCTGGATACTTGCAAGTGCCTCTATAGCAAGGACCCAGATCCTGAAGACCCTCATGTCCTCCACAATGATATGATGTGTGCTGGCTTTGCTGAGGGAAAAAAGGATGCCTGTCAGGTAAGACACCCCATAGAAGAATTGAGATTAGGGACGCTTGTTATTTGGCAAAGCAAGGTTGACGAACTGGCATCTTGTTAATTTAATGTGAGATATGTGTGTGCTTCTGCTAAAATTGTTGTGACGTGCATTAATAAGAGGAACACTATCTTCTGGGGAGGCCCTGCTCTCGATTCCACCTCCTTCATAAATGCGGTTGGTGGGGACGAGAGACAGGGCCTTCTCAGTGGTGGCCCCTCGGCTGTGGAACTCCCTCCCCAGTGAGATTAGATTAGCGCCCTCCCTCCCGGCCTTCAGAAAGAAAGTAAAAACGTGACTATGGGGCTAAGCCTTTGGATAATTGTAGTGCAATAAACGATAAAGGACTATGTGCAATGACAACTGAAATGGCTCCAGATTACGATCTTGGACTGAGTGGTTTTAACAATTGGTGCAATGTTATGATGTTTTAATTTCTATGGTTTTAATGTGTATGTTTATTTTAATTGTATGTTTTTTTTATTTATTGTGTCAGAAGCGAGTTGAGGGTACAGTTAATATGTCATTATGTTTGGTTTACAGGTTTTGTTCTTCTCTTTACATTTTGTGTATATTGTTTATATGCTTATATGTTTTATATTTTAATACTATGTTGTTTATTTTATTGCAATTTGTATCTTATTTTATTGTATTTTGTTGTTTGGGCTTGGCCTCATGTAAGCGGCCCCGAGTCCCCGTTGGGGGAGATGATGGCAGGGTATAAATCATTATTATTATTATTATTATTATTATTATTATTATTATTAATTTAAAAACACAAAGTTTAAAAACTTGGCATTATGCCAAGCATTATGCATCGTTTTTATGGCATTGAATTGTTGCCTATGTGCAAATGTCGCTCTGAGTCCCCTTTGGGGTGAGGGCAGGGTATCAATATGGTAATTAAAAAGTAAATAAGACTCTTGAAGCAGTAAGTCAGTCTTTCCTTGTCTTGGACTTCTACAAGTTACAGTTTCTTTCCTATGAAACCATCCATGGCTGGCACATGAAAAGAAAATAGATAAATCAAAAAGAAGTGTAGAGAGGAGGGAACCAGTAAAACCACACATATTGAAGGAGGGAGTGAAAATTATTTCCAGATCAAAAATGTTTCTCTGTAATATTGTTCCTATTTTAGCAAAATAAAAGCTGGGATGGGGGATCTGAAATATATAGCTAGTTACTTTTGTGGCAGAATGAAAATCACACGTAGTTCACACTTTTTTTGTCAGAAAAAGAAAATATGTCACACAGATAGTCAGTAAAGAACAAGGAGTTCACTGGGTTGTTGTAGGTTTTTTCGGGCGATATGGCCATGTTCTAGAGGCATTCTCTCCTGACGTTTCGCCTGCATCTATGGCAAGCATCCTCAGAGGTAGTGAGGTCTGTTGGAACTAGGAAAAGGGGTTTATATATCTGTGGAACGGGGGACAGAGGACTCTTGTCTGCTGGAGCTAGGTGTGAATGTTTCAACTGACCACCTTGATTAGCATATAATGGCCTGACAGTGCCTAGAGCTTTTGTTGAGAGGTGATTAGATGTCCTTGTTTGTTTCCTCTCTGTTGTTGTGCTGTTGTAATTTTAGAGTTTTTTTAATACTGGTAGCCAGATTTTGTTCAATTTCATGGTTTCTTCCTAGAACAGGTACATTTTAAATGTAACTCTAGACCAGGGGTAGGGAACCTTTGGCCCTCCAGCTGTGGTGGACTTCAACTCCCCACAATTCCTTGAGGCTCGGCATGGGGCCAAGGTAAGCCTTTGGGGCGAATGCCGAGCCTCAAGGAATTGTGGGAGTTGAAGTCCACCACAGCTGGAGGGCCAAAGGTTCCCTACCCCTGCTCTAGACCATGGCCATATAGCCCAAAAAACCCTACAACAACCCAGTGATTCCAGCCATGAAAGCCTAAGGACTTCACTCTTTGTAATGCCGAGCAACATATATACAGTCATGTGAACAGTTGCATTGACTCACACAATGTTCTGTGAGAGAGATTCAAATGGTATTTAGGTGTCCATATAGGACAGGGGTCCTCAAACTTTTTAAACAGAGGGCCAGGTCACAGTCCCTCAAACTGTTGGAGGGCCGGACTATAATTTGGAAAAAACATGAATGAATTCCTATGCACACTGCACATATGTTATTTGTAGTGCAAAAACACTTTAAAATGTTTTTAACACTTCAAAGGGAAGTGTGGTCCAGCTTTTGACTGATGAGATAGGATTGTTGTTGTGTGCTTTCAAGCAATTTCAGACTTACGTTGACCCTGAGCGAGGGCCGGATAAATGGCCTTGGAGGGCTGTATCCGGCCCCCGGGCCTTAGTTTGAGGACCCCTGATATGGGAGATCTTCTTCCAGGTGCTCATGAAGCAAGAACAGTCTCCCTGCAAGCTCCTGCACAACGAAAGCCTAAAAATGTAACTGTTGCCAAAACTCCCAGGCTCAGCTAGTCTCTTGGTGTTTTTTTTTTTTTTTTGTGTCAGGAGTGACTCCTGATGTGAGAGAATTGGCAGTCTGCATGGACGTTGCCCAGGCAACGCCTGGATGATTTTATCATCCTTGTGGGAGGCTTCTCTCATGTCCCCACATGAGGAGCTGGAGCTGATAGAGGGAACTCATGCGCCTCTCCCCGGATTTGAACCTGTGACCTGTCGGGTCTTCAGTCCTGCCTGCACAGGGGTTTAACCCACTGTGCCACCGGGGGCTCCTAGTCTCTTGGGTGTAGTAGCCCAACCAATCAGCTTCGTGCTTTGCATTTTCAGTTAACGCATTCACCAAATGATTTTTACACAGGCGGCCCTAGGTAATTTTCAATGGTAAGCAAACAGTATTTTGCCCCCCACCCAACCAATCATTGATATATATTTTCTGTTCATCATGGGAGTTCTGTGTGCCATATTTGGTTCAACTCCATCATTGGTGGAGTTCAGAATGCTCTTTGATTTTAGGTGAACTATACATCCCAGTAACTCGCATATGTCAAGGTCTATTTTCCCCCAAGAGCGCCTCAAGAGCGCCCCTGGGAAAAAACAACTATACGAATGCTTACTTTGCGTAATGGGTTGAGCCGCCCCTGTTTTTACATGGCCCAACAACTTTTTGGACTGCATTGTACAGAGCCATGAGTCAGTGGCCATGGATGCTGGGGAGAGCCTGAGAGTTGCAGTCCAAAGAAAGTAACTTCTCCAGTTTTGGGGTGACACTCTGGCTCTCTAAACTGGTGCCACTGGTGCTATTGCTGCCACACTCTTCCTTCTGTAATACTCTTTTTGTTTTTCCTAGGGTGATTCTGGAGGACCCCTGTCTTGCCGTATCGACAATGCTTGGTTGCTGGCTGGAGTCGTGAGCTGGGGCGATGCCTGTGGGGCCGCCAACAGACCCGGCGTCTATATCCGCACCGCAGCCTATGCTGACTGGATTAAGGAGAAGGTTCCCGAGGTGGAGCTCAGCAATGTGGTTGCCAACGTGGAACCGGTTTCTGAACAAGGCATGTGCTCCAATACTTCTAGCACTAGTCAACCAGGACCTTACGATCATATTCAGCCCGAACCCGGGTGGAACCGTCCCCTCAACCCCAGCCAGCCTCCCAGAGGCAGCGCAGCCCCTTGGCTTCCATCAGCCAGCCTGACCCTCCTTTTCCTTCTCCTCCAGAGTTTCTATTATCTTCTCTGAATTGCACTACAAGTGTGCTCCAATTGTGTAGGGAGAATGTCCCCTTCCTACTCCCATACTCAGTGGAAGGTCCCACTATTTCACAATTTCACACCTTTAAGAAAAAGTTTGCGTTCTGAGCGTATTTAATTCTGTTTTTAAATGGCAACGTTTTGCTAGTGCAGAGGTTTCTATCAAGCCTTGGGTTTCAGCCCAATGTTTACCTCATAGGCACACCTTGAGCCTCCGCCTGCTATGTGCTTTTTATGTGCCAACAGAAAATAATGGTTCATGTTTCAAGTTTCTTTTCATTCTTGGCAATCTCACTCTTTGGTTTGTGTGTTTGTGTTTGTGTGTTTAATTTCACATCATGGAATAATGCAATTTCTTAACACCGAATGGCCGTCCATTTTACAACTTTGCTTTTGATTCCCTTAATGTTGTAACGTTCCATTTGATGGCTTGCTATCTGAGTCTAATGTCAGACTAATAATGTGTTTTCCTTGTCCTGTTTTCTTTCAACTAATTCCTTAAAAAAAACTCAACAACCCTGGACCTCAATCTGCTCCATGTAGATATTCCTCTTCTTCCCTTCCTGTAGTCTTTCCAACCTTGATAACCAGTCTGCTTAGTATGAGGGTTGAATGAAAAGTAATGCCTCCACCTTCGTAACTCCTCAACAGATGGCAGTACTGGTATGCAGGTACTGGCTTGTTCAGTAGACTCTCCTCTACAGTTTCATTTTGGTGGGAAGCCTTAGCATTGAATGGTTGTGTTGTTAAAGTATGGAACCCTGCGCAGACTGTCGCTCAATGCGACTTAAGCAATGTGCAGTCATTGAATTCTTGACAGCAGAAGGTGTCACCCCAAATTTCAAGCATAATTGGCATTTCACAAGAACGTGTGGGTCCCATTATTGCTTTGCTTGGCTATCGGAAGATCTGTGCACGATGGGTACCCAGGATGCTGGCGCCTGAAATGAAAGAGCACAGACTTCTTCCATGACGGCTTCAGAAAACTTGTTGTTGTTATTATTATTATTATTATTATTATTATTATTATTATTCACTTTATTTATACCCCGCAAAATGTCCCGTAGGACTCAATGCGGCTTACAAAGGCCAAGGCCGCCAACAATCAACAACATACAATACACAATAAACTCATAAGCAAATAATAAAACATCAAACAAAACAATAAACAGTAAGACAATGACACCGGGACACAATTAAAACCAAAGGCCGGGCCAAATGTAATGGACAAAATTTAAAATGCTGAACTTGACAGGTAATATGTAGAGGTATATGGAGGTAGATGCAATGTGCAGATAATCCTGAGTCTCTAGCAAAGTGCAATTGGGACTTGAAACCAGGAGTTCATCATTGGCAGAAATGTATCCAATTGTCTGGCGATTATGTGGAAAATTGAATAGTGGTAGTTAAAGAGCACATTCTAAGGATTATTTCTGCGTTTGATTTATTAAAATATTCCCATCCAAAGCCAAGTAATGAAGGTGCAGGTATTACTTTTCATTCAACCCTCGTACTTAACTACGGTGGCTACAATCATGGCTCCCCTTGGTAGCCCTTTTGCTTCTTAAACATTCAGTTTGAGTCTAACAAGAGTCCACAGATGTGCAGATTTGTCTGGTCTGAAGCTAAATGAGCCATGTTTTCCAAGTTGCATTGGCAGTCAATCACAGACTCCAAACCATTGTGTGCTAACCCAAAGGTCTTGATACTTCACAAGACAGGAATCGTCAGCTATTCCTACCTAGATACACTTGAAAGGCAATTTTGGGAGTCTGTTTTGCCAGGTAGACATTACCTGAGTCTATGGTAGAGATTATGAGTGGAAGGCACCTATGAGAGTATCTTGACAGGCCTCCTGTCTATATTTATACAGATTTGATCAACAACACTGGTGGAGAAGAATGTTCAGTGGCACCTGCTCTGCTCTCTGCTTTTTGGATTTTGCTGGCCAGCTTGTTTGTGGCGTTCACCTTTGGGACTGTCTGAGGCTCCCCACCTTTACCCTTCCAGCTCAGTGACTTTTTGAAAAATGGAGCTATGGAGCCAACCTATTTCCTAAACTGTTACATTTTGATCCAGCTCCAACTCTCTGTGTTGACTGTACTATCGATTTACCTCACTTGGGACATTTCTGTTTTGTATAAATGGATCTCTCCAGGCGTGATTGAAGCTGTCAGGGTGTGTGCGCGTTATTATGCATGTGCATGAATGTCGCAAGAGTTTTTGGGAAATGATGTCATCGAGGCAATGTTCTCTCTGAATGCAAAGCATCCTCCATTGTTAGCTTGACAGCTTTATTTATGGCGTGTGACTCAAATATGAAGCAAGTAGGATGGAACACTTTGACGTGTGCCGGCAAGTCGTATGTGCAAAACTATGGCTGGTATGGACACAAGTGCCAGTAGGTGTGTGTCTCTCCCCTCCCCCACCTTGACATGAAGAATGAAGAAATATGACAAGTGGAAAAAAATAATGATTGACCTCCCTGGGTATTTACAGACATTTTTAGGTAGCTTATATTTGCACAACTTTTAAAAAATAATTATGTAAGCATCGCTTTGTTGGGAAGAATGAGATACAGATGCTACTCCTATTGTGGTTTTTAATAAACTGAATGGCAATTTTGCAGTGATGAGAGCTGTGTCATTTTTGTACTGTCTTGGTAGCCATTYCTACTTGAAATCATGGGGATTTGAGTGCYCCCYCTCCMCYGGGACTGAGAAAAGCAGTAAGTAAATAAATACATTTTGGATTCACTAYGGCTGGGCACCCGAGTTSYATATACTTAAGACAATTACCGTATATACYCRAGTATAAGCCGRCCCGAATATAAGCCRAGGCACCTAAYTTTACCACAAAAAAAATGGGGAAAYGGRTTGMCTTGAATATAAGCCGAKGGTGGGAAATGCAGCATTTACGGGTCARTTTCAAAATAAAAATAGATACCAATAAAATTACATTAATTGAGGCATCAGTTGGTTAAATGTTTTTGAATATTTACATAAAACTGTAATTCAACATAAGACTGTCCAACTCTGATTCAACCATTATTCCAACCTTCTTCAATGTAAATATGCTTACGTATCCTTCCAATAATCATAAATAGAGTAAAATAATAAATGTAATAATAATAAAGTAAAATAATAAATGTAATAATAACAATAATAGARTAAAATAATAAATGAACAATAGAAAATAATAATAGAGTAAAATAGTAAATGTAATAACAATAAAGTAAAACAATAATAACAACGTAAAATAATAAATAACCTTGACTTGAGTATAAGCCGGGGGAGACTTTTTCAGCCTAAAAAAAGGACTGAAAAACTAGGCTTATACTCGAGTATATACAGTACTTTTATAGGTGAGGAATGTGGCGGAATGCGTAGTTCACGTCTTTACCAATTCACACACTGCCTTGCTAGAGAAAAAATATGCCACGCAAATGATCAGTAAAGAATAAGGGGTTTGGGTTGTTGGCTTTTCAGGCTGTATGGCCATGTTCTAGAAGCATTCTCTCCTGATATTTTGGCTGCATCTATGGCAGGCATCCAGTATTTAAAAACTCTAAAATCAGGACAGTAGATAAGGAACAACACTCAAAAGCAGGGGAATTCCAGACAAGAAACGATCAGGACCAGCTAATTGCTTCCCAACAAAGGATTCCCCCAGGCAGTAAGAAGCCAGACCTTGAAACTGCTAAGCCATTAAATGCTAATCAAGGTGGCCAATTGCTATCTCAAACAGACAAAAGTTCTTTCTCCCATCCTGGACATTCCAGATATATAAACTCAATTTTCCTAGTTTCCAATCCTCAACCTCTGAGGATGCCTGCCATAGATGTGGGTGAAGCGTCAGGAGAGAATGCTTCTGGAACATGGCCTTATAGCCCAGAAAACACACAACAACCCAGTGATTCTGGCCATGAAAGCCTACAACAATAAATAAATAAAATCTCTGGGTTCAGCTGAACGTGGCAATCCAGCTTTTCACCATGTTAATGTTGTAATGTGCTGTTGCTCACGTAAGTACATACAGAGCGAAACTGAACTTCTTTTGCGGTTTTTTATTACTTAAAAATATTTCTGAAAGTAACAAAACACACTGCTTACATGGAATATGACTCCTAAAAGCGGTAGTAAGACCACAAAATGGATATTTATTTCTTCCTGGCATATCCAAATCAGAGCCCAACTGCTTTCCATCACGACTGGCCCAGTGTAAAAGGAAGTAAAAGGTTATTATAGGAAGACTGGTGACAATCTTCCTATGTAGGCTCCATTGTGCTGAATAGACTTTTGATTTTCCCTCCAGAAAACCCATTTTAAGTTATGACAAATTGTCTCTGCAACAGATGATTAAAAACACAGCAGTTCACTTAGGGATGTCACTTAAAAGGGCATCCAAAGCAAAGCCCCCCTCTCCCCAAATTGGTAATTTAGAACCACCCAGGTTATTTTTGGTTTCCTACCAACATGATGACTTGGCAAGGGGGGCAGGCTCAAAGCTGGAGGTGGCTTCTATTGTTTGCCACATTTCCTATTTTTGATGGATTGGCAGAATGTAAGTTCGGACTCTTACCAACAGTCTATTGAACTAGAAAGGATCTGAAGTCCACAAGTGTCTGGTTGTAACAAGTGCTTCCCCTAATAGTTGGCAGCATCTTTAAAACTCTTGTGACTGTGAGAAGCAAAACAAACTAAACTGCAATGCTATCAGTCTTTTTTTTTCTAACTTGCTACTGTCTGCATAAGTGAGAAAAACTAAGATCTTTCTCCACCAAAACAAGCCAAGTGACCCAGACTTCCCACATCCTTCTGCAAACAGATGACTTTTAGGTAGACTTTCACACCCCAAGTGGGGGAGAAACAACCTGACTTTCAATAGCGTTAGGGTACTGGGCATAAATGGAGGAAGCAAGGCACAGCACTCCAGCTGAACTGTTACTAAACTGGTGGAGAGCCCCTCCGCTCTGGACCAACCCATCCGCTGAGAGTATGCCTGATCAATGCAAGACCAAGACAGATACTTGGCATCAGAGCATCTCTTAAAATAAATGGTGTGTATTGGGGGCGAGCCCAATCCATTTCTCAGATCCGCTTCTTTTTCACTTCTTGGAAATCTTGGCCTGCTTGTGTTTGGGAGGTGCCCATCGGAGACAGAGGGAATCCACTGGAAAAGAGGAAACAACCACACACAAAAAAAATCAGTTATTTGGGCAGGACAGAATCAGAGAACTATAGGCTTGAAAGCCCCTAAATGTCATCTAGTCTAACCCAGGCCCTGTTAGAAATAGCAACCTTCCAAGCCTTCACTATTTGCTTGCTAATGTATATATTTGCTAACCTGTATCTATATAAATAAAAATGTAATCTTCGCTTGTGGGATTAACATAACTCAAAACCACTGGATGAACTGACACCAAATTCGGACACAATACACCTATCAGGCCAACAAGTAACCATCACTCATAAAAACACTGAAAAACACATCAGAAGAGACTTAAAAAGCAAAAAACAAAACAGAAAATGCATTACAACACATGCATAGAACCACATATATACACAAACACACATGTATACACATATATACAGACTGAGCCTCAGCAACGTGTGGCAGGGGAGGCTAGTTGTGTGTGTGTGTGTGTAAATACACACACACACACACACATTGATTTGCCAGTTTTGACTGACCTCTTTGGTGTGGGAAGGGCTACAGACATATGATTGTACTGAGCATGTTCAGACTCAAGACTCTATTTTGTTATTCAGCATGCTTTTGGATTTTAATGTTAGCAGTTCACTTTAGACTTCAATGGAGGTGGATGAAGTATGCTTTTGGACTTCAATTGAAGCAGTTTTGCATTTGGACTCATGCAGGAACAGTTTATGATATGTCTGCTTTTGGAAGCAGTGAGTACAGTTAAAACAGTTTGGAGTTCCATAAGATGTATACTTAAAGACTTTGGACTATTGATTAAGAATGATGTCCTGTGTTCCCAACACAGGGAAACTACACCCTAACTATAACTGAACTTTAATAAGAAATGTGCCTGTATGCTAAATTAATACAAGATGTTCGTGAGGAAACATGGTATTTTACTTTTTAAAGACGACTTTGTTTTTTTTTGTTTTTTTCTGGGTGCACATTTTTAAACTAAGAGGTTTTAAGGGCAACTGCAATTTCAATTTCAACTTCAAAGAAACTTTTAAAACTCCGCTAGTTAAGTATATGTTTTTTGTGCAGTGGCATGTCTTTGTCCCTGGCAGTTCAAAGACATAGTTGATCACTCTAACAGCTGAGTTATCTGTGTGCCATTGCATGAATGCTTGTGAACATCACTTTTTTCAAAGGGTTGACTTCTAACAAGATCATGCCTTTCCTTGACAAGTGGTTTTCAAAAGGTGGTCTCCAGATGTTCATGGAGATTCACATTCTTTTCAAAAAGGTTATGGATGCAATTTTTCCAAAAGGCCTTTTGAAAGGAATTGAAAAGTAAACCAGCAAAGAGTGGTCAAACAGATTACATCACTTTTGGCATGATAGGTGAAGTTGCCTTTTAGCCAAGGTGAGATTACTGATAAATCTCAAAAGGTTATTCACACTGGAAAGATTATATTTAGCAGCCTTCTGTAGGAAGTAGCATATACAAACATAAATCATATGATACTTTGGTGATGTAACAGCGAACTCAAATAAGAAATGTCCTGGTAAATACCTTTTGGCTCTCATAATGTTCTTATTGTTGTTCTAACAACACTGAAAGTGACTGTGATAGAGAGAAGTAAATTATAGTCTTGCAAGTTTTCCATGTGAGCGATCACCAGCCTGGCTTAAACTGGCTCTGTACCAATTTCTTAAAAGAGGCCTGGAGAGGAACCTGGCAACCTCACTGCAGCTCCAATTACATAACTGCCATCTCACCAGTACGTACACGTACACACACACACGGCCTGGCCACCCCTG